GATCTGTGGGTGCACCTACCTGAGTGAAGAATGTGGGCACTAGGAGTGATCCACAGCAACAGAGGGTCTGGATGATATGGCATCCATGCTATACATCTTTTAAGGGCGTTAGTTTGCATTACATCTAGTCTGCTGACTGAAATGCCTGTTCGCAGCTGCAATGCAATGCTAATGAGGAATGCTCCTGGACCACATTTTTTGTCACAGTTTCATTAAATAAAATCCAATTTGTTTTCTAAAAGACCATCCCACAAGACAGCCAAAATAATTTTAAAAGAGAACTTCCGATCAGAACCAAATGCTAATCTGGATGCTCTGATTACTTTAACACAAACATGATCCTGCATCCATATACAATCTGAAAGAAACAGATACTGGAAGGGGATCCTGTAAAGAACACATCAACAATTGTGCAATCACAACCTCATTGCACCACCAAACAATAACATGCTTTTTTCAGGATAGAATTGGGTAGAAAGCAAGCCTAAATTTCTGAAAAGGAAAGCGACTCCTGTTTCGTCCTTCTTTTTTCAGCAAGAAAACAGAACCAAGTTAAATCTCTTGGTGTGTGAGTAACATCACTTTTCCTGTAAGAATAAATAACCCCACAAAAGTCTGATCTCTCTGACTATATGGGCCAAGAAGCAACAGGGTATGGCCCAAACATGTAAGGGTATTTTGGCATAGGAGACAAAGTTTTGAAAAGCTAATACTTATAAGAAGTAAATATTAGCTTAAATTTTCTTTTAAGGCCTAATGTTTCTAGAGTTTTCCCTGAAGAATACCTTGCTTCTAGCTATTAGTGTTGTTTTGTACTACTAAAAACACACAGTTTTATACTGATTTATCATTTATCCATTCTGTAGATAAACTCTTCCAAAGTGAGAAGATGGTATCAGATAAAAGAAAGTAATTATTATCTGAGAGGTAATAACTTAAGCCATTTTTCAGCTCTTCCTGATCATCATTAACAATGACCTGGAAGAGGTGAGGAGTGTGCTCTCATCGCGTTTGCAGATGACACTTCACTGTGAGGGCGAGCCCATATACTCGAGGGTGGGGCTGCCACCCTGGATGGGCTGGAGGAAGGGGCTGACAAGAACTTTATGATGTTCAACAGGGAGAAAGAGTAAGTCCTGCCTCTGGCACAGGGTAACCCCCTTCAGCAGCACAGGCTGGGCACCGACAGCCTGGGAGCAGCTCTATGGAAAAGGGCTTGGGGCTCCGGTGGACAGCAAGCTGGGCATGAGCCAGTTGTGTGTCCTGGCAGCAAAGAGGTCAACAACACCCTGGGCTGTATGAGCAGGAGCAGAGCCAGGACACCCAGGGAAGGATTATTCCCCAATAGTTGCCACTCATTAGACTGTAGCTAGGTACTGCGTTCAGTTTTGGTCCCCACACTATAGGAAAGATAACAAAATGGAGCAAGTTGAGGGGAGTGCTACCGGGATGGTTGGGGTTGGAGCACTGGCCTGGTGAGGAGAAGCTGGGGGAGCTGCACTTTTTCACCCTGGAGAAGAGGTGCCTCTGGGCACAACTAACAGCAGACCCCGGTGCTTACAGGAAGGTCATCAAGACAGAGCTAAGCTTTTCAGAGTGGCATGTGATAACAGGATGAGAGACAACAGGCATGTGTTGAAAAAAGAAAGGGTCAAACAGGTTATAAGGAAAAGTATTTTCCTCATGAGGACAGTTGAGCAGTAGAACAGGTTTCCCAGAGAGGCTGTGCAAGCTCCATCCTTGGAGATTTTTGAGATTCAATTGGATAAATTCCTGAGGAACCTGGTCTGGCCCTATAGCTAACCCTGAATTATCATGTTAGCTTATGATGAGGAAATGGCCTCAAGTTACACCAGGGGACATTTAGATTGGATATTAGGAAAAATTTCTTCACCTAAAGGGTTGTCAAGCATTGGAACAGGCTGCCCAGGGATGTGGTTGAGTCACCATCCCTGGAGACATTTAAAAGACGTGTAGAAGTGGTGCTTAGGGACATGACGGTGTTAGGTTAATGGTTGGACTTGATGATCTTAAAGGTCTTTTCCAACCTAAACAATTCTATAATTCTGTGATTCTATGACGCTCTGTATGTGATTTCCCTTTGCTCCCTTCCAGCTCAAAGAGAAGCTACCTAGCTGAGACACCCAGTGCAGTCGTGTTCCCACTGTAGGCATTACCAGCAGCAGCAGTAGACCTTATCATAGGCATTACCACCAGAATATAGTAAGGGAGTATTTTTCTTCTAGCCTTAAGTCTTCGGAGCAGAGCTCTGGTCTGTTCCTTTCACATATACCTAGAAAAACCACTGAGTTCAGTTTTCGGCTTAAGCACTCTTATGCTTTCTCCACTAATTTTCCTAATGGGCACCTCAGGATTATCCTACAATGGAGCATTTTCCTGTGCAAACGCTCAGGATAATAAGCCTTAAGTGTAGGCTCAGTGCCATAGAAATATAACTGCATAGCATGCCCTGGTATAGATTTCACAATAATCACAATGCTCAGTATTTACATAATACATCTTCTGAATGCTTAACAACCTAATAGCAATCTGCATTTAATAACAGTAGGGTCATCAAGCTGCAAAATGCTCAGATGACACCTAATTGTTTTACATTTCAATATTAGTTTTGATTTTGCAGCATCTCTTTTATTACATCTTAAATTTTAATGCATTTGATTTGCATGTTCATTGGGATCTGAAAGCATTTCACACAAACTTATCAGAACACAGATACAAAAAAGAAACAAGCACCCCAGCAGCTGCTGAGAATTCCAGAAGGATGACAAATTCTGGTAAATTTTATGGAGAAATGATGGAAAAAAACAAAGATCAAGAAAGGATGTACTACTGAGAAGAAAAAACCGAAGTGTTCAAATATATAATCAATAAGGAATCAGTGAAGCAGACTGTACAGATGACAAGGGTAATACTGTGTTGATACACTGCCAAAAGAAAGTAATGAATTCTTTCACTCACTTTTCACAAAGGAACATGAAGTTAATGCCATGAACTGACAGATACTTCACAAAGCAGAAGAGAAAAAATATTGAAGGTACACAAGTTATAACGAAATCAGGGTGCCGTCTTGGAGAGAACCAGAAAAGATGGCTGTAATCTGCACGAATTTTAGAAACAGATTTTGATCTTGTAAATTTAACTCCAAAAATGTAATGGTTAAGGTATACAAAGAGTAGGTTAACTAGGATTTTCTTATGCAACAGTGAAAAGCTTGGTCTGGAAGTACATAACTAGTGGAGAGCAATGTTATGATTGATTTTTTTGGTGATTTTACATGCAGTGATAAAAGGAGATAATGGTAAGTAAAGAACTGGTCCAGACTGAAAGGAAAGCAGTATAAAGACACCAAACACACTGAGAATGACCTCTGCTCATTTTCAGAAGTCAGATTCAGGAGTATAAACTTGTCACAATGAAGAAACATCTATATCTGACTGCAGTGAAATCACAGGTCCAAGACTGAGAAGAGATGCTTAATAGACAAATCCTATAAAAATCTGGAAAGAATGAATTTATACATAGTGGTGTATAAAATAATTATTTTTCTATTCATATTCATCCTGATTAAATTACACTGGAGATGGTGAATGCGGGGTTTTTGCATCTGTTTTTTTTTGTATATGTTATTTATTACCTCAAATGTGTTGGAAGAAATTAAGAGTAAGGTAACAAAAATTTACAGATTACACAAAAACTGTGAGGAATTCTCATAATGAAAAAAACCCAACAGCTGAACACAAGCAGATTTGCTACAAGGTGCAAAATAACAAAATAAGGTGCTAATTTGGCAAATACAAATATACATTTCTATAGAAAAATGAGCCAAAACTTCATTATACAACAGTGACTTGAATTTTTCTGTGCTGAGAACCTGTAAAGAAGGAATGCCAAAGAAATTGTAAGTTCTAGTTTAATTTTGCTTTGGTTTTGATAATGCCATTTGATCCTTAAGCTGTTTTATCTATCCACTTGGGTTAATTAAAAAAAGTCAGAGAGTCACCAACCCAGCAATGAAGTGCCTTTCCAGTTCTGTTTAATACCCTGTATAAAATGAATGATCATCTTCACATGTGACTGCAACACAGTGTCCCTAGCCAAATAAAGAAAACCTCAATTAGGCACAGTTTTGCAGGCAGAAAAAAAGGTCATGGCAATTTTTTACTGCTAAGATATCAAAACAGAGCTACTGCAGTACATCTTTTTCATGGCACTCATTCAAAAAATATTTCTCTACCTGCTGAAATCTATGCAAATGCATTGACATGAATACAACTTGACATAGATTAACTTCTGCTGATTCACCAGGGTCAGGATTTCCCCCTCAACAAAGAATTAAACAAACTCTGTGAGTGGGAAAGAATTATCTACAAGGAACAATGTACTAGCACTGCAAATATCAGGAAGAATTTCCTGAAGTGAGATCCATCAGAGGAATAAGTACACTTCCTCAAGGAAAAAGACAGAAAACATATTTTTTTTGAACATCTATATGGAACATATACATAAAGCATTCCTACACGTACTGAAATGTAGGTAATAGTCCACTGACAGTGGCTACACGTGAGAGTTTAGTGGCGTGTTTCCACATCTTTCAATTTTCTTAAAACAATCAGTAGAATCAGTACTGCGTAATGAACAGTTTGTCTAAAGTCTTCTTTTAAAGTTTTCTGGTGCATTTTGACTTGTCGCTGATGTGCATAATATGTTTATTCTCTTCTCAGTTAAAGGTTTGTCAGAGTAATATAACCCCTTGCCTTCTCTTCATAAAATGTTGGTTTTCCAGAGTAATGCTTTTTTAACTGCAGTCTCAGAAATATATATAAAGAATGGGAAAAAATGAAAATGATGGAAATATAACTCGTAATTACTATAGAAGTTGTAATGGTTACCTCCAGCAAGATGTATGGTGAATGAAAGTCTTTATATGAAACAATTTTCAGCCAACTAAAATGTGATTTTAAATCATTTGTCATACTTACCATAAGAAGTCTATCTCCAACCTGCAACCTCCCATCTTTTTGCGCAGCTCCTCCATCAATAATCTTGGTGACATAAATGCTGTTGTCCCCAGGGATGTGTTGGTTTCCAACGCCTCCTGCAATACTGAATCCCAGACCTGGAGAAGATATGGAAAACAAAACATTAGCAATACAATATATAACATTAAAGAGGAGTGCAAGAGTAGCATATATTTAATCTACCATACAATTATAGTATTTTTTACAGAAATACAAATAACATAAGAGATATTTGTGGGGTCAATACTCTTTCATTTTCCCTGGAAGGTTAGGGACAGAAATAAATTAAGGAAATTCTTTGTCATGTACAATTATAAGAAGGTAGAGATGCGATGATTCTATACCTGTGGCTCGTCCTCCCCAGGGGCCAGTGCAGCCTATGTCAAGAAGTTATGGCACAACTTGCCGTGATTAATAATAAAAATCTGAAGCTTGGAGTTTATTTTGTTAAATTTTTGTATAAAATACATCACCATCTATCAGAACAAAATTAAAGGTATTCTGATTGTCCACACAATTTGAAAAATACGTGGAGAGGTATACTGCAGATTTTGCGAGTTTTTGTAGTACGACAGTGAAGGGTCTGTGAAAGTGAAAGATAAACGGTGTAGATATTTGGATTTAAAGCTGCTTCGCATATTTTTCTAGGACACAAATATCTTTGGCTATGGATACATAAAATAAGAAAGCAATAGTCCTTTGTACATATATAACTTCTGTTCAGTGATCTGTGAAATTCCTAGATAAGCACCCAAAGAGCCAAACTTTGGAACAATGTCAATAATACATACTGATATGATTTAGGAAAAGGAAGGCAAAACAAAGAGATGTTGGGGGAAGAAAAAAAAGACAGTTTTGCCCTTTTCCTACTTTTCCTATCCTCTGACACATTGCATAAACAGACAAATTATTGCTTTCATTTATAATAAGATTTTTATCTCTCAGTCAGAGAAAAGACAGAAACTACTGTGCTAATGGGAACTTCCAGCTGAACAAATAAGCTGTTACTGACAATAACCTGCTTAGATTATTGCTTCAACCAGGCATTTCTCTTTTAGCTGTACAGAAAAAAGTTATATCTATTTAGAGAATAATCACTAGTTTTATCTATGAAATCTATGCTGTTCAGTCATTCTTAAAACAAACATGTTAGAAATAGCTGCAGTCTGAGCAGTAAAATGCAATAGTAAAAAATGAATTGCCTGGAATTTGGCATTTTATTGCAAACTCACCAGCCTGACTGCTTGGGCAATAAAAGTTAAGGGAGGGTATATTTAATACACACAGGCTTTTTTAGCAGCTGTATGAATAAAGAGATAAGTTTTTTTGAGTGAATTAAATCTTTTTGATTTTTTTTTCTCACGTTATTGTCATTTGGTCATTATTTTAGCTTAAAAAAGATGTGAGGCCAGATAACATAATGGACTACTTAATGGATAGTGCCAAAGCAGTAAATTACAAAAAAACCCTTCTGAATTTATATCTTAAATTGAAATACTACTTAATTAATTAAGATGACTATTAACAATACAGATGAAGTTAATTCAGAATTATGGGATAATTAAAATAAAGCTTTATTTAATTTCCAGCTAAAGCTGGTGACTACTGTTACTATTTATGTGCTACTGCCAGGACAACTACAAGGATAAAAAGATTATGTTTTCTTCAACATGGAAGAATTTGTTCATTACCCTGGGACTACTAACAAAGAAGCAAAAATATATTCTAAGAAAACATCAAGAATAGCAATTTTCTTTAAAACATTAGTTGTGGACAAGGAACAATGATGGAATAATGTTCCTTGGTGACATAATTATCATCCTTTTGACCCAAAGAACATCTGTATATGCTTCTACCAGTAAAGTAAAGATCTGAGAGTATTCCAGAATGATGATGAGAGCAAATGAGTGGGCTAGACTGCAGCCAGAGAGCTTTCTTCAGCTCCACTGCTCACCAAGGGCATGACCTTGGGAAGATTAGGTTATGGTATGCTTCAGTCCTCTTCTCTCCCCTTTATTAACACCATATGCTTGTAAAGGGCAAGGTCATTTCTGGCCACAGAGCTGTTCTGTATTTTACATAAAGGGGTTCCTAGTTCAGCCTGGTCCTGCTGCAGTATAAGCAAATAGTAGCAAAGATAATCCCTTCCATTTTCTGCAGTGCTGAGTGGGGTGCTGGTGTGTGCTGTTTGTTTGCATGGTTGTATCGCAACCGACATATGAAACCGCAAAAAAAAGAGCACTAACAGATGCTACTCCCATTACAAAAGTGAAGTTTACAATGATGAAAGGAGTAACTTTTTCTACTTCTTTAGTCTATATAAAATGTAGCTGCGTTACAATGCATGGGGCTACGTTGTATTTGTAAGCAGGGTCTGCCTTTGGGATCCAAAAAACCAGCACTGAGTATAAAAAGGTTTAAAAGAGCAGAACAAGATGGGGGAAATACTGTGGGGAGAAAAGGGAGAGTGGGTAGGAGAGACAACTGAGGAAGAGAGAGATTTTCCATGTCTTTCCTATCGATAATGATTTAGTTTCATTGCCTAACCATATTTGCCTTCTTTAAAAGATTTCTTCTTGGGAAGAATGGGGAATGGAACAGTGGCCCATTTAATTTTACTTAAATGACTTTCGCTAATTGCTAGAGCACTAGGAAAGTATACTACAATGAAACTTTTCGGTAGGATTCATATGGCCAAATGACATCAGACAACTATGCTAATCACTTACACTACCTTTATAATCACTGAAAATTCATTAAGGGCTTTTAAAACATGATTCATCTCATCTCAAAGAGACATCTGAAAGAGATGAAATGAATCACGCTCTTGGTTTCTGAAAGGCTGGGGGCTGGATGTGGGAAGAGGTGGGTGGGAAGATCAGTGCTATAAAAGTTCACAACCTGAGTTAGAATCTCACCTCCATTTAGACTGAAGGTTTCTGTTTTCTTTTAAGACCTCAGAAAGGTTTGTGCATCCCTAGTGTGGATCCCTCTTGTCACTAGCTACATCAGGTTAGTCTCATATCAGATTCTTACTCTATTTTAAAAACAGAGAATCATTCAAACCTTTCGGAACACAGGGAGCAAGATATGTTTTCTAAACTTGGTCTTTTTCATTGCTCCATTGAATTAAAAAAATCAAAATAAAATAGCATATTTAATTGCAGAACCTTTTTCGTATTGACTCCTGTGGTTAGGAAAACATTGCCGTCAGAACACAGATGATCAGGAGTCGCTCTGAGGAATGCCCTCCCTCTCACTTCCTATTTTGCTAATGTGCAGTCTGCTTCACAGCAATACCTCAGCTTGGACAGAGTGCCCAGTTTCCTCACAACAGGAATTAGATGGAGGACAGATTTAGAATGGAGATAAGGAAGAAATTTTTTATAGTGAGGGTGGTGAGACACCGGAACAGGTTGCCCAGAGAAGTTGTGGAATGTCCCTGCCATGGCAGGGGGGTTGGACTAGATGACCTTTGGAGATCCCTTCCAACCCAAACCATTCTGTGATTCTATAGTTGTATGAAGAAGAGAAGACTACTTCGAGAGGAAAAAAGGAAAGAGAACTGGATTTAATACTGCTGTACATCCAAGTCAATCTCAGTTTTGTTCAAAACCACTGAAGAGGATGGGCACATATAAGATCGGGTCAATGTATAAACTAGGGAAGATTAATCAAATTCTATTTCCTTCCATTTCCACTGGATAGGTGTTTGTAAAATTCATCTACCTCTGGGTTACACAAATGCTCATCACTGATCCTGTGGATAATAACTTGTGTAATAGTGGAACGAGACAGGAGACATCACTGTTATCACGAAGAGGAAAAGGGATAGGGGAAAGAGCTATTCCATCAAAACTGGAAACTGCAGAAAAAGTGCTGATATTAACAATAGTCAAGGATATTTATTCATATCTTTTCCCTGGATTATCAGTAAACAACACATTAAAACATTTGAAAGCGTAATGAAACCATAAAGAAAGAAATGTTACAGCCAAACTAATTCAAATGCCTCCCAAGTCTCAATCATAGCTATTTCAGAAAAAGGTAACCAGTGACTATTTACATCTATTTTGCATTATTTGCTGCACCAGATACACGTTTTAAATGTATCACTATATTTGTAAAAATATATGTTTTTTATACTATAATATAGTAGTTATAATATAACTACTTTTCTGGTAAAAAGTAGGCATGGAGACTCCCCCTATGGTTAGTCCAGCAACAGGTGCCTCTGTGTGATAATAGTAAACTCACTGTTTAAGACACAGGGGATGAATCACACTGTGGGCATATCACTTTCCAGTAACCAGAGAGGGAGCCTAAAAGGTCAACTGCAGCTAGATAATGTCAGCTTTCTAATAAGAAGTGACATTAAATGAAACTCTTACTCATAACCCAAATGGGATGTTGCATTTTGCTACTATCCTACACAGAGAACCAAGTTTATTTTAAGTCAGCAAACAGAATGAGGATTTTAGAGGGTAAATCCAACATGAGTTTCACAGTCCTAGCTGGGAACCTCCAAATAATGGGGAAGCCAAAGAAAGTAGCATTTAAGTCATAACCTTAAAATGTAATTAAGAAGTGTGTGATTTGCAGGTAGTTAACCAAAACAGTGTGCTCTAGAGACATAAAATGCATAATTCCTACTTGCTGGGTTCCTGGCTTTACCACAGTATGCCTTAACGTTGACAAAGTGACCTGTTGAACATAGAGTAACTTGGTGAAGCCACAAAATGCATAGGAATTGTAATAGAAATATTAGGCTAGAAACAAACGAAATATGAATGGAAATGTGCCTGTAAGCACTAGAAGAAAGAACAAAGGTTAGAGAAATTACGTGTATTGACAATACAGAACATTCCTAGCAATAAAACTAAAAATGAGTCTTTTCTGTCAAGCCTGGACAGAATGTCTGGCCTCTGTTAAGATCACAGCACAGGTGTCTTGTCAGCAGAAGACCCTGTACTGTAACAGTGGGATGTTGGCAGCAAGATTACAGCATGTGACATATGCTATTCTCTTGCCTGTAAGCCCAACAGGAAAGCAGATCATAGCGATAAAGACGTGTTTATTAAATGAAGACAAACAGGCA